AGCTTTGGTGTACCTAGTTAATGCAAGTAAGTGTTGCTCCCGGACCACATCTTTTAGTTATGATCCAGCCCGAGATTCCCAACCTCCCCAGTTTGTTTTTTGGCCCCCAATTTTCTATCTCGACTGGGTCAGCCTTACATTTTCCCATGCCCTTATGATTTTTTTATCACCTTTCCCACTTCCTTAGCGAGAGAGAGCTGCTTGATTTTGTCTCATGGACAGAATACAGTGGCCTCCCTACATTTTGAGGGTTGGACGGGCCCTACTAACATCAGTTAAAGTTTAATTTTGTTTATGTTAATATTTCAGTTCGTTATTGGGTTCATCTCACCCCACCCCTCTCATTTTTCATCTTAGAATTTTTCTGTACATATTTGTTAGGGTCATTAAATTATGATGACACGGGGCGCGTTTTTTGTAGGTCTCCCTAAAGTGGATGCGGTATTATGGTGCAAGGAGGATCGATTGGTGACGGACGAGTTCTTATGGTGAATGAGTAAATTGTAATGTATGAACGGGTCGCGAATGAAATTACCTAGGTATAAGATAGTTAGTGAAGACCAGCCTTTTACCCCCCCTTTTCGGCCTTGTGCCACAATTTTGTATTTAATACAGAATAAATATCTATCTGTATGCTACCTTTGTGAGCTTCCAGTGCTTTGTTGAGAGATACTCTTCCATGTCATCTGCCCTGGAAGCCGTATCACCTCTCTGACTCTAGCTTTGTCAAGTGCTACTCTTCAGCACAATCCTACCTCTATCGTTGATCCATTCTGGAATTCATATCACTATTCTGATTTGGCCCTGTTTTGGGATTTCGCCTTTGTCAAGTGCTACCCTTCAGCATGTTCTCACCTCAGTGGTTGATCCACCCTGGAAGTTGTGTCACTACACTGACTTGGCCCTGTCTAGGGACTCACTCTAACCAACCTGAATATTCTTCAAACATCATCAATCAACCAGCCACTACCGCCGACAACTCTCCAATCCAACAGTCGACCAGCTACCGCCACTGACAACTCTACACTCGTTTCACCGATACAACCTTTCAACTTCCCCTGACCAAAACCAGTCATACCGGACTCTATACCAATACAAACATTTTTCTCCAGACAGTACACTCTTGTACATATTGGAAAAATAAAAATCATCTTGGCTGTTCACACCTTTCTTCTATCCTTATCGGCCCCGCAACAAGTGGTGACTTACCGACGTGAGACAGCTAAGCGATGATGGAGTTGGTCAAGAGTGATTCTCCAGACATGACAGCTGCAATCATACCGCTACCTGCATACCACCATAATGCAAAGAATTGGTTCTTACAAGTTCACACCCCCAGCACAACGAAGCACGAATGCTATGAGCAGCATGAGATATAACAGGCATTGGCCGACCTGCAGAGACAAATACAAGAAATCCAGATCTCGCTGCACCCACAGACAAGGAAACTGACCCCATCTCAACAACAACGGAGATGAACCCCCAGCTGAGAATGGCTAAGCAACCAGGGCATTTGTTGGTTCCATTGCACATTTGGCGATGGAGCCAGGAACTGCAGACCTCCCTGTACACACCCATCGGCCTAGGGAAATGAGTAAACCAGAGAGTGGCGACGACTAACTCATCCAGTAACAACACGCAATGTCATCTATTCTACGTACGGGATTGCCAGAGCAAACTGAAATTCCTAGTAGACACAGGTGCGGCCATCAGTGTGGTACCCTATCAGAACGACCACACTGCTAAGCCCACACTGTTCAAACTGTGAGCTGCGAATAGTTCCACAATAGACACGTACAAAGAAAGGGCCCTCACTCTGAACATCGACATGTGACATGATTTCACTTGGACATTCACCGTGGCCAATGTGAAGATACCCATCCTCGCCGCGGATTTCCTGGCGCATTACGCACTGGCAGTCCATATGAACCCCAGGACCCTATCTGACACAACTACGAATCTCTGTGTCTTAGGTATGCCTACACATCAAAGCTCCACAGGAATCAGTGTTGCAACATGCCATGGTTGTGAGTACTTGGATCTCCTGAAACAGTTCACAGATATAACGCTGCCACTCCAAGCCACTGCTTCAGGTGACCACCAAACTCAGCACCACCAATTTCTTTTGTCTTTCTTTTGATATTTTTTAGTTTTAATGATTTCAAAAACAGAATAAAACATTTCCAATAAGAAATGATGAAAATATTGGACAACTGGAGATTTTATTTAATTTGAAGAGAATGTTTTATTTACTAGCATACTATCCATAAAAATATAAGGATTAATGGTAATTAAATTATACAAATATGTGCAGCTATATATTTTTCCTAACAGTTTTCACAGCACAGATACTACACAGAGACCTAGGAAGAGACACTTTGACTGTAGGTATAGTAGCACAGGTACTACATTGATCCTCAGCAGGCATACCAATACATACATTAAGATTCCAGTCATTTTTATAGGCAATAATTACTCATCACACAATATGTTAATTTATCAATTTACTGAATTTTCTACTTACAAAGCATACAACTAAATGTAGGGATAGAAAGATTGTGTCGCACTAATCTTCCAAGTGGGAAGAGTTTACTCATACTAGAAAATCAACATTAAGACCCAGGCTTTTATTTAGGATTGAACACCAACATTTATCATGTCATTTCAGACTGTGCACTTGACATATAAATTCACGAATTTTAATCTCTCTCTCACACTGTCCATTTTGCAAAACATCTTCACCCACACGGGCTCATGGGAATGGACATTAAAGGTGATTCCTTTCAGTTGGGATGATGTTTAAAATCATTATGTATTAGAACCCACAGTTGACAACATATTCCAAGCCATCATTCTTCCTCTGCTTGTAGAAGATCTATTGCTACCCCTGGTAACAATAAAACAGCTTTTTGAAATATGGCCTTAATTCCATTTTTTTAAATGTTGGCAAGAATTTTATATCATTTGGCAGATTTTGGTGATAATACATTTCAAAACTTGACAGTATCTTTTTTTATCAATAAAATAAATCCATAACTTTCCTTTAACATTACAATTAAACATCCTTCACCCAAGACTCTTTAAAAAATAGATGTTAATTTATTTTTTTTTACAGTGATGTTTACTTTGTACAAGTCTCGGGAGCCACTCAAGGTAGAGGGTTACAGAGTAAAAGGCACATTTTATGCAGATACATGGGGAAGATCACAGGTTAAGATTGTATTGACCTGGAAAGCATCCTCTGGAGAGTCAATTCCACAGAGCAGCAGTTTGTATGAAGAAGCTGTTCAAGTGGAACTTACATCTCACAAATGGAATACAGAAGGAAATGAGGATGGTTTGCTATAATGTGGCAGGACTTAACCATGAAGGTTAGAACTGGTGGGACTAAATTTTAGGGAGCGGTACTCAAATGATCCAGAATTTCTTCATTTGGCTGAGAATTTTTGAGGTCACAGAAATTGACTGGATATAGATCCATCAAAATTAAGTTATGAAAGAAAATGCAGTTAAATTAAAAAAAAACATAATTATTCTTAGTTTTCATATAAAACTAAAAAAAAAACAAACATTGATTTCTTTCTCCATAAAATTTGCAGATCTTCAAGCAGGACACAGGAGATACAAACTGCATAATTCAATTTAACAATGAAAATCTAAGTTTAAATATTGAATAAGTCTAAACATTAATAAGGTGGATGATAATCCTATTAATGGCATGTCTTGTTGGTAAGTTTCAGATTTTTCAATCAGGTGTTAAATATTGATTTCCTCAAAGTTCCAAATCAGGACAATCTTATCACGTGTTCTGACTGGAACAAGTTTTAGCACATCAACAGGATCTTTTGGAATTCTCACCTCAATTAAGCTCCATCTGGTCATGTAAATTTCTAAATATTCACACACACACACACACGAACGTGCACGTATGTAGTGGTTATTAGCATGGAAAGTGGGATCAGCCTGTTGAGTTCAAAGTCCAAGTGAGATTAGTACATTCGCTTTCACACAAATAGCATTGCAAAAGGTATGAATTCATTTCTTGCTCTCTACACCAGCTAGGAGTTAAATATCAGAGTAGACATCTCTCTAGCTTTGGTTGGCAACCAGTCTAGGAGAAAGACAACTCCTGAGTTCAAACCTGAGGTGGGTTGTTTGGAAATTTCATGGCATACTGTGCACTGTTTCTTTATAATCAGTTCTTCTGAAAAGTGCGGCTGGTTATACAACAATCCTTTACCCCTACAATCAAATCAAGTGTGGGTAGGCTGATGGTTCATTTCTAATAGCTGAACTGTTAGGCCCTCATACATCAAAACCTATTCATATTCCATTACTGAGAAGTAAGTTTCATTTGAATAGCTTCTTTCCACAAAGAAAAAGAGAATATTTTCCTAACCATTATAATCTTAATACCTTCAAGTCTAGGGTTAACCATTATCATTCCCTCATATCCTTCTAAGCTGCACCTCTTATCACTCACACAACAAACTCTTTCAGTAACCCTCTACCTCAAGTGGCTCTTGGGCTTTTTATAGAGTGTAGTTAAAAAAAATACAACTGAAATTGGAGAGTCCCGTATATATATATATATATATATATATATATATATATATATATATATATATATATATATATATATATAATGTGTGTATACAAACTCTTTGCAGGTTATTTAAAATCAGAAAATATTTTTAGATTGTAAGAAATTTTTTTTAAGATGTTAATGATTTACTCATACAAGTGTTGCTAATTAACCTATAGCTGGGGCGAGGAGAAAGAGAGATAAGAGGTGGATTCATACCTTTTCCAACCAAATATAATGAAACCAACAGGAATTAGAACTCAGCTCACCAATTAACAATTTTGAGCCATTATCAGAACCCATGACTGACAACATATTTCAAGCCATCATTCTTCCTCTGCTTGTAGAAGACCCATTGCCACCACTGGTGACAATAAAACAGCCTTTTGAAATATGGCTCTAATTCCATTTTATTTACAGTACCTGGTATACCCAAGCAGTCACCCATCTAGGTACTGACCAGGCACAACACTGCTTAATTTTGGGGATCATATGGGAACCAATGTTTCAATGTGGCTGTAAAACTTAGAGCAGACTATCTTTGTTAGAGCAACCAGTCTTAGAGAAGGACAACTGAATTCAGATCATGGGTCTGTAAAACATTAACCCAAATGTTTTACCAATTTGGAGAAGGTCAGAGTTCTGGAATGGACTGAAAAAAGGCTGATATATATTATGAGCAGCTTCCCTTTTTTTTTCTTTCTTTAGCTCACTCTGTATTTATTGATTCATTTGAATAAAAGGAATAACATTGATGAGTAAAGTTAAAAATGGTCCAGACACATCAAATATTTTACCTATATTCACTTATCTGATCAATTGCTAAAAATTGTCTTTCTGAAATGTTGGATTTTCTTGATAAGATTTTGTTTGGTTACTTTTAGGTTGCAAATAAACTTGACAATAAGAGAAATAGCAAAATAATTTTAGAATATTACTATTTCCCACAAGCCTGTTTGGAAAATGCATAAACTTACAAATGCTGCCAACCAACATAAATCTAGATTCAACCGAGCAAAAATATAAAAGCAACAAAAAGAAACATTCCAGTTTTCTATATTCATAATAACATTTCTTACTTGTGGCCTAGACTAACTCTTAAATCTATTTCTGTTCAATTTCTCTCTTTCATCAAACAAGAACTAAACAAAAATGTCAAATGGGGACATCAAACATTTCACTTTGAATCCTTTGTAAAAATGACAATTATAATTAATAACAATCTGGTCCCTGTGTTATATAATTCCTTTCTACAATGAAGGAGTGGGTTGCTGTCATCCAATAATTGATGGGATGCAATAAGATAAATAAACAGATCTTGGGTAGAATAAATATTCTGAACCCTAAACATAAGGTTTGAATTCTTTTCGTTCTTTTTTACTTCTTTAAATATGGTAACAGATTATTTAGTTGAATTTGAAAGTGGTAAAAAGTTGTTTATTCTTCAGGTCTTTTATGTATAATAATGACACACAAGAATGAAATTGTGTATGCTTGTGTCTATCATTGTGTGTGTGTGTCTAATATGTCATTGTGTATAATAAAGATTTTGTCTATTTTACTTATGAGTATAAACAGTGTGTAGGATAATTTAAGAAAAAAGAAGAAAAGCAAATTTTATTTCTTTGTTTTTTCTTAGCAAAAATCACACTGTTTAATAAATGATGAAGAAAAAATTGGCATGAAAATAAATTAATGCAAATCCTGAAAACGCAACAATGAAAGTAAAGGAAAGAATGACAGGAAATGAACTTTGGATATATGAGATATAGAGAGAGGAAGGAGAGGAGAAGAGAAAAAGAAGAGACTGGCATAGAGAGGGGAAAATAAGAACAAGTTGAGAGCAAGTGTGTGAGAAATGTGAAAAGAGTGAGAATGAGAGAGATGTGAATAGAGAAAGAAAGAAAAAGAAATATGAACAATAAGAGAGAGACATAAATGCCCAGAGATTTGGGAAAAGGAAAACAAAATATTTCAACAGTGATAGAAATCTTGGAACAGTCTATAATAGATTAATAGAAGGTGGGGGCAGTAAATAGAAAGATAGACTTACTGTCCAAAATGAGATGTATTACAAAAGAAAGAGAAAGTGAAAATGACCCAAAGTTGAAACCAGACTGACATAGACACACAAATGAGGTGGGAGGGGAAAAAAACCTCCCCTCTCACCACATATACCTCCCCCCACTCACTCGCCTTTGCAGCAAATTGTTTTACTAAATTCTGACTATTTCTTTCTTGTACTTTTTTGTTTTAGCTTTTTACGTTGCGTGGGAAAGAAATCAATAAAGAGTAATTTTTGACAAATTCCTCAGGCTTAGATGGGAAATAATTTCACATTTCAATGTCTTCAGTCGTCTGAGACAAGCGAAGCTGGAAATATAAGTCAAAAAGGTAGCAACAGCAAATTCTGTTTAAAAAAAACAAATAAAACAGAAAGACAAAGTGTGTATGTGTGTGTGTGTGTGTGTGTGTGTGTGTGAAATATATGTGTGAAGCATATTTAGTTTTGAATACCTTATGTTTGTCTGTCAACACTAAAAGTCAGAATTCTGAAATAAGAGAAATGTGAAACTTATAATCTGATGATGTGTACTTGGCATGCAGTGATAATTTAAATGTTTTAACAAAATAAAAGCGGAGGAGATTATTTCACATGAAAAATATAATACTGATTTTAAGTAAAAGTTAAAAAAAAAGAAAAAAAGAAAGAGGATTTTTCACTGCACAATGAAAATTTAAACACTGTTAATGCACACACACACACATATATATATATATATATATATATATATATATATCTCATTGGATAGGATCCAGGGGTCATAATTCTCAGTGTTTTACATTTAATTTCCTCATGAAGTTCAAATTGTAACATTTTCAAGAAAAATGTTACATTGGGTTAGAATAAAATTTTGTAGCATTTTTATCAAAATTTGAACAACTGATTTTGTTCCATACATGACTGAAATTTATGACATATATACATATTCTGAAAGGTAACATTTCAATATGACTTTCTTATAAGATTCATATAGGTATTTTGAATTTTAAATGTTATTAAGTTAAAAGTGAAAATGGAAGAAAATAAGATGCATTTTTGTCATTTGTTGTACTTTTATTTCTGGAAAAGAAAAAAAATATTGTCTAAACAGCACAAAAGACATGTATCATTTATGAAAAAGGTGCAGTGGCTGAGAAACTTGGTTCAGAAGTGGAAATTTTAATCTAGAAGACTGGGACAATCCAACAGGCCTACAGTCATTTATGATATCTGAATCAAAATGCTGATTAAAAATAATCCAGGTCCCATGACACGGGACATCACAGAGATACTCCATATATTTCATAGAAATGTTATAAGTCATTTGAAAACATTTGAATATGTCAATTGCTACAATGATTTGGTGCCTCATTGTTATATCCCAAGCTGTTGGGATGGACAAAAATGAATGGAAATAAAAGACAAGTGTATTTTAACACATAAATATGTAACTTTTATTCATTCATAACTGTCTGAGAACAGCAATGAGCGTATGGATTGAAACAATCAATTTCACATGCATGTCAGCTGGGCACCATATTCAGTTCAGAATTGGTGCCCTCATCTTGATAGATGTATTTTGAGTTATTGTCCTTTTTAGGGGAAGGAATATAGCTTCCCCTAACATTCATGATTTAATGAAAAATTTAATGGGCCACATTTTCATCTGCTTGAACACAACTAACATGACCCATTTTTGAAAATTATCACAGGCATGAAAAATAGATTGTTTACAACAATGTGGAGTGAAAAAGGTTCTGGGAAAAATGAAAAGCTGGTTTGTATCTGAAGGAGATGCTGCATATCTGGTAGGATTGGAAGAGTAAGTCATTCTGTAAAATCAGACATTGAATTCAGACAAGCATTTTTCCCAATCAGACTGATTAACAACAGCAATCAATGAAAAATGTCCAGAATTGGTCACTCAGAAGGGTGTCGTCTTCCATAAGGACAGCACCAGACCTCATGTCTCTTTGCAGATCCAGCAGAATTTGGTACGGGTTGGCTGGAAGGTCCTACTACGTTCTCCATACTCACCTGAATTTGACACTTTGAGAAGAACTTCAGTTCTCTGGAAAACTGTAACAAGCCATACAGACCAGTTCATCACCCAAAATGCCAAATTCTGGGAGGATGGAATCATGAAGCTATTTAAAAATGGTGAAAGGTAGTGGGACAAAAAGGCCCAAATGTCTTTGAATATACCCATGCTCAAATATGTAAGTATTTTACAAACTATTATTGCTTCAAATTAATATTCCTTCAATATGAAATATTTCAATGTACAGCATAGAGTTGAAAGTTCCTTCAATATGATATATCTCATGTACAATTAAAATAAAAATTCAGAGTTCAGGTGGAAATGTTAGAAGCATAGATCTGAACCAGGAAGGAGTCAAAATCAAACAATAGACACAGCTATTTACTCCTATTGGAGGAGGGAGAAGAGAATATTAATTGGTGAATAAAATATCAGCATTCAGGCAGAGACACTAGAAGTATAGAGTTGGATGTAGACTTTAGAAGGAACCAGAAACACAATCTAAAGCAAGAAAAAGTAAATAAATAATAAATAAAATTACAGAGACTAGCTCTGAATATATGCATTAGGGTAGAGTTAGTTATGTAACTAGCAGTATGATATTATCTATTAAGTTTTTAACTTTGTATAAGTTCAAATATCATCTATCAAAACAAAATTGAGCAGGGAATTTTTGAAATGAAGAGAAAATGATTTAAAATGGAAAAGAATTGAGTTTACTCACTGGCATCTGATCATTGATAAGTTTGCCAATAATACTGTCCATAATTTTGGCTGGCTTCATGCCCTGGTATTGTATGGCCGATAGTCGGGCTTCCTGACTGCCAAAGCTGTTGTTGAAGGCTTCGTCAATGATCAGAGTCATGCTCGGAATGGTGTCATCCTCGCTTCGACGTAAGTTGTTCAAATGATGACCTCCGCTGCTGGTACTCCCTCCTCCTCCTCCCCCACCTCCAACATCATGCAACACTGAGGGTACCATCAACATGGGTTCGGCCGATGGCCGGTAACTAAGCCTTTCCTGTTTCACCACAGTCAGGCTCGGAGACGTTGTATCAGGTGTCTGTTGTTCCATTCGGTGCCATGCAGTTGGCGGACTCACATTACAGGACAGGTTCACTGGTTCTGGAGAGAGTGTTGGTTGTGGGCTGGGGGCATTCAAACTGTTTTCTGTTTCTTTCACTTCTTGTTTGATTGGCTTGCTGGGCTGCAAACTGCTGGTGTTATCATCTTGTTCAGACACCATGTATGGTCGTTTCTTTATAGGACTTCGATTCACCGGTTTGTCCTGCTTAAGCGTCTTGCGTAGATCTAACGACGTGTTGGCCACGATGACCGACGGCTGTACAGCCGTCTGAGTGCTCACCGTTGTGGACAGACCTCGGTCAACAGTTTTGTTAATACCAACGGAAGTGGTACTCACCGGGTTCATAATTTGGACCGAGGGGCTTCGATTCACATATGAGTTCTGAAAACGGGGTCCTGATGGAGAAACTGTGGTGACTGTATGGGATGCAGTTCGCATGTCTGTGCTGTGTTTTAGGGCATACGGAGATTGTTGCACAGGAAATGCGACACTCGAAGGGATGCTTAAAATGGATCCAACAATAGAGGGTACGATTGTTGGTTTGTGAGCGGCCGTAGGGTGAGACAGATGGGACCGCTCAACTGCAATAGATTTGGGATAGGTCGTGTCATCTGCTTGCTCGGGGGCTTTAGAACTGTCATCAGATTCAGCATCCGATATGTTTGTGATGTGTGAGTTGTCTCCATTGACGGGCAACTTGCAACTACCCAACTCCATCTTTGGTACACAGGTATTGAGTGCCCGATTCTTTAGGAGCAGTGATAGTGCAGTAACTGATGACCTGTTAACAGAATTTGATTCTGAGTCCATCGATATGGAAGAAGTGACAGCTGGACTGGGAGAAACCAGTGGAGACATGTCCGAGTTGCTGGGGCTAGGAGCCTGGACAAATGTGGGCAGCATTTCAGAGGTCATCTCTGACTGCAAACTCAATAAACCATGCAGTGCCTGCTGAGTCTGGGTATCCTCAATTGTTTTTATCATTTCCCTCATTTTCCGGGAACGACGGCCAAGTTTTGCCGCTGGAAAAGAAAGCAAGAAGAATTTCAATGTCATCATTAGAGATCAAACAACTCTGATATCAAATAAAAATATTGCAATTATTAATTTCATTGTTGACACTTCAAATACTGTGGATGTACTTATAGTCTATACAAATTTCCATTGCCTGATGTCAATGTATAGAAATGTTTTCAAGACATTGTGAAATGTTCATCCCTAGTGTTTGCTTTATGAACTAATCCATACTATATCCAAACTGGCTCAGACATATTATAGCATACAATACAACCTGTTTTGTAAGTTATTTTTATTGTGTTTAGTTTAGTCTGTACCACAGAGAAATTTTTGAAAGGATGTTTTATCCAGCATTATATCTTATTACTATAAATATTATTTTCGTCAGGCTGGTCTCCGTGGCTAAACTGGTAGCAGCACACTTTGACAAAAAAGTGGTTTCCCTGATGGAAAAAAGGAATACAAGGTTGAATGCTGTCATTGACAGCACTCAACTCTGTATGGACTTTAGTAGGACTTTTCAGTCTAGACAGATTGTTATTAATTTCACTGTTTAAGAAAATAAAAAACCGAGATAACAACTCCAACTAAATGTGCACCCACTAAAAATAACGTTTATAGTAGTAAGAAACTACAGAGTATCCAATCAAACCAAAATGGCAATGACAATGAGAAATTGTTGTCTGCAGTTGCCATTGTTTGGTTCCAGTAATTTCCCATTTTTCCTAAAACAGGCCAGCACAGCCAGGTAACAATGCTATTTTATTTTTTTCTCAAACGCTCAAAAAGATGGAACAAATGTAGTTTACTGATAATTTTATGACTCTTTTCATTTTATTGTTGCTTGTTAATACTTTCCTTGTTGATAATACTAATGCCAATACAGGCTGTAAAGGTGGATTTGTTGCACTTCTAGAAAGAAAACTTAACAGAAATCTTCACACTATTGGTTGCTTCTTGCACCAAAATAAACTTCTATTTAGAGCTATTTTTAAACATGTAGACAGTACCACAAAAAAGCCCTGCCACATTCAATGGTCCACTTGGAAGATTACGTACAAATGATTACCATAATTTACCCCAAATGTCATTTTCAGCTGTTGGCAGTCCTCTGGATTCTATTTTTAAAATTGAAAATACAGATAATTTTAGTTGTGACCAAAGACTCCTTTATGAATATACACTGGGTATTTCTAGAGGTAAGATGGACTCTAGATTTGCATCATGGAAAATTGGTCCATTAAACCAGGCAAGGTGGTTAACTTTGGCCATCAGTCTGATGTGCTTATGGACTCATGGTGCATACCCACGAAATATTTCAACCAAACTCCACAGTTTAATAAATTTTATTGTGAATGTGTATGCCATTTGCCAGTTTGAAAATAAAAGAAATAACAAGTTCCACAATCAGCAAATGTATATTTTCAATATGATCCAAAGGATTAGGAAGCAACCATATGAAATCCAACAGATCACATTGAAAAATATACAATACAATGCTTTCACCTTACTTCCTAAAAATATCTTATATTCAATGGTGAAATCTGATGAACTGAAGTGTGGGAAGAAGCTATAAAAAGAATTTTGGCCATTAGGTAAGTAAATATTTATTCATATAAAATTGACTAAATTAGTTATGCCGATTTATGGAATCATTTTAAGGATTTTATCTAATTTCAACATAAATATTAAAGCAGTACTGAGTGCATTTTTTTTAAATAACTCAAATTAATTTTTATATTTTTTTAGGAGTGGGGAGCCAGCCAAGAAAAGATTAAAAAGAATCACAACTATCAATTCTAAAGCTATGCAATGGACACAGTTAATAGATCTGTCATTAAGTGGAGTTTGTGAACCACCACTCACAGAAGAATTTTCTGAAAATGAACTTCAGGAATCATAAATGGTATGAAGCTTGACTTGCTAGATTTGCCTCCACATTCCCAAGGTGTGGAACAGGCAGTCAAATTAACAACACAAGCTTCCCAATCTGTGTATGGCTTTGAAGCAAGGCACCAGCACATAATAGCAAATGTTTTGTATCAGAAATTGAGACCATCATTTTCATCTAAGGACTCTTATATGGAGTTATTTGACTCTATATAATAAGCCTTATTAAACTATTATTTGTTTTTCCATATTTGTTGTATTTTCATTCATAATCGAAAAAAATCAATTTTTTAATATATTCAACTATTACTGTTTAATTCATGAGGTAAAAAAACAGCATTTTGAAATCTTAACTGATAATGGGGGTGAGGCAGATTTTCAATTTGAAGTTTGGTTATAATTTCTTCATTTTATTTCATTTTGATGAAATAAAATAACATTTCCTGATTTAAATACTGAAACTGTTTGGTTTTCTCATCAATATTTAGGTTAAATCTTGCAAAATCAAGGATTTTTCAGTGCATTTTGTCCACGATGTTTGATGCCAAATGCTCAAAATCTGTTGAAGGGTCAGATCTAATTTTTATGTATCAGTACTTAATAGGTCTATACACAACTTTCGATACATTATTTTTTTTGATATTTTAAAAAAAAGTGAAAAATCAACCTACCCTAATATAAGCCTTTGTTATAAAGAAGTCATTTCCTTGAAAAATAAACCATGTTGAGATTCAATCTCATGGTCAAAAACACTAACATTCTAACTATTCAGCTACATGCCCATTTTATATATATATATATATATATATATATATATATAGAGAGAGAGAGAGAGAATCACAATTTTTTTAATCTATTCATAAGCCACAGAGAAAGAAGTAACTTCAGATAAGACTTGAACTCGAGCACTCATTTTTATGAATAATTCTTGACATCATTGTTCTTAGGTGCCTCATAGAAGTGGGTGGGGTGAGATTAATGTGAAATTTTCAGACACCACTGAGCTGAGATCCTCCTGTTTATTAAATAATTTTCCTTCCACCTCCCATCCACTCCTTTATTTGACACTTAAAAGTAGATTTCCAGAATAGTTACAATCAGATAAGGTTTTTATCTGTAGTCTTTCTATCACTCTTTTTCTTCAGATTTCTTCCATACTGTATTACTGACTAAAATTAATACTAGTAATACTAATGTACTTATAAAAGTTATATGCTGAATTATTTGGACTAGTGTCCTCATTTCAGTCATTAGAGTCACTGTATTTCAGCTATTATACCTACTGTCATATTCAGCAACCTTCTGGTATTTCAAACTGAGCCCTTTATTCAATTCATGGAGTTAGAATATTCATGCTAGGGAATATCTTGTATCAGTTAATTCTTAGTTATATTTTTCCTTTTGATGTCACTTGGCTGCACCACTGGGATGCCAGGAAATTTCCTAAAGTGATGGTCCCTCACTTTAAAAATAACCAAAAAAAGTAAAAAAAAAATATTGCATTGATGCTGGGAAGATATAACATTTTATTTGCTGTAAAGTTAAAACCTTTACTTTTATTTGATTCCTTTGACTACATTTTGGGATTAAATGGTTCCTTTTGACTGGACCCTGTTACAAGTCCCCCCCCCCGGTATAAATTTTTGACCCAGTCCACCACTGCTTGGCTGCCTCTTCGACTGAACTAGAGTATATGACTTTGCACTAGTTGAACTATAGATTGAATACTTGACAAATACGTAACTAGATCTGCTTTAACCAATACTTTTTTTTTATTATCCACTCAGTCTTTGTGTCATTGTTGCTTAACAACCAAGAACAATAGTTTGGATAAAGATAGAAATTCCTCTGAGCTTGTTTTGAAATTCTGAGATAAAGTATTTTCACAACTCCTTTTATTTTCCATTTTTTTGTTTAACACCTAAATTATGGAGGGCAAAATGTATTCAGACATTAACTTAATGATATAATAAAAATAATTACTTTCAAAATTTTAAAACAAAAGTTTTACTTAGTAAACAACACATCATGGAATAAAATCAGAAGCAAAAAGCAGTGGTAAAAAGATGAGAAATGAGACCCTTTTTAAGTTTGAATAATCTAAACAGTTGGTACAATGCATAGCTTTGTATGGCACAAGGCTAAATGCTAAGAGAGGATTGTATGAAGATGGTATTACATCTGTATTTCAAAAGGTGATGGACTGCTTGCTTTAAAAATCAATATTTAAAATTCTGAAAATAAGAGACTGAATGAACAATAATTTTTTTAAAATGTCCAATAAACATTAAACTCTTTTTACACAATTTAGAATATGAAAAAGGATTGTGGCACATTTTATATGTAAAGCTCATGCAGCTAAAGTACAAAATGGGATTTGCAACAATGCAGATACTCATCTCAGTCTGTATTTGTTAACTGCCCTCCAAGCTAACAAACACTTTAAGTGAAACCAAGCGTCTTCTCCAGTTGTCAGCTGATAGTTATATACACAAACTTTATTATTTTTAGTTTATATTTCAAAACGTGAAAAAGACAATCTTGCGCTTTTGTGATGCACCTAATTTCATCTCAAGGCACTGCCATGCAACATGGTTTAGAACACGCTGAGTTAAGGAATAAGACATGAATGATAAGCTCTGGAGATTTAGGACATGAGTTCAAGTTTTATTCTTCTTTATTCTGAATTGTTCCAGTTTAATGGTTGAAGAAGAGATAGGCTAAAAATGTGGCTCTAAAAGACAACAAGAAAAAAAAACAATGAAGACATTAGTGAAAAGTTAATAAAAATCTGTGTAATAAAGCTATCTTCAGGTATTTAAATCATCTTCCTTCAATAAAAGATGAAGTCATGATACATACCTGTCCTTGACATACCAAGTGCCAAACATTTTTGTAAGCGGCAATACTGACACCGGTTCCTTGTTTGTACAGATATTTCACAATTTTTGTTATAGAAACATTTTTTCCTTGTTGGGTCTCCAATATCTTGTAAAGCTCGACGGAAGAATCCCTAGTGAAAAAAAAAAAAGCATTTGTTAAAAATCATCAAATTTATTGAACAAAAGTAGATGTAAAAAGGAAACAAAAACATTGTTCTTACTCAATTTTGAATCAATTAAAATTGGGTCTTTATTCTCTTTGGCAATGAAGAAAATTAATTTTTCTTATGCTTATGGCCAAGGAAACTGATTTAACTTGAAGTATCCCAAACTCTGGATACATCCTCATTTATATGCCGTGTCCCTTCGGTACATGGCTGATTATGGCTCTCCCCAAATTCCATCAATTGTAGCCTTCAGCATCGTTTAACCCTTTACTATCCCTCCCTGTTCATGTTCTATCGTCCATTTATATGAGCTTGTTTGGTATGTTATTTGCTGCTTCCTTCTACCTCTTCAATATGTCCTGTGAGCATCAGATTCTTTAAGCCCTCTTTCCTCATGACATGCCTCAGAAATTTCAAATGTCTCTTTCTGGTCCTAAGTGTCATTTTTGTTCCTTAAAACTTCCCCGTTTCTCACATGTTCTGTCCATGGCATTCTCAGTATTCTTCTGTAGAACTAATCTCCATTGCTTCAAGTCTTCTCTTCAGCTGTGAAGAGATTGGCCAGCATTCACTGCCATATTAGAAGATATATATTACATAGCAGTTTAACAAAGTTTTTCTGTTTCTTAACATTGAGCTTAGTTTCTGGAAGACATGTTTCACTATTCCAGTGGGTCTTTGGATCTCTGTGTCACATTTTCTATTATTATAATACTTGCCAGATAAATTTCTGTACTTGCTTTATTTTGACATCTCCAAATTGTAGCTTGGATCACAGGCTGTGGGAGAAGTTTTAGACATGAAAAGCCAAACAAACAATTAAGGTAGCAAATTGTCAATATGATTTTTCTACTCCACAGACAATTACAGATTGGTACTGACCACTAAGTGAATGTGAGTGGCCCACAAACCGTGCCATTTTAGAAATGCTCTGATCCATTTCTTTAGCTTTGGCTTTGAACAAAGTCACTGAAATCTTTTTTTCTTGTTCATAAGGTTACAGTTTCATTCACTGCCATCTTGCTGCTGACTAAATAACCCCATGGAAGAGTGTTTGTTCAGATATGTGCAACAAAGTGTTTGTTCCCTTTGAATAAATGTCAGGTTATATTATTAAGGCTGCACAAAGAGTTCTCAAGATATGCAAAATAGCAAATGTGTTTGAGACAAATCTCCTATATTTATATACATGTCTGTGTATCTAAAAGAACTGCTGCTTTGTGGAACGGACTCCTGAGAGAATGCTTCCCCAATCACTACAATCACCTCTTCAAGTTTAGGGTCAAGTTGCCTATCCTACCTGTCCTCATAATCTGCACATCTTACAATCTCATTCAGTAGCCTTCTACCTTGAGTGGCTCTTGGGCTTTTGTATTGGGTAAAAAATGATGTATAAAAAAATGGTATACAATAATATGATTTTTGTCAAAGTGAATATTAATTCAAATACAAATGAAAAGATTATTTGCATGAAGAAATTTTCTTGAAAAGTTGGATTTCATAATAAAACAATTTTATCATTACCCATTTATACTTGTATACAGTAGTGGGTCCACTATGAAAATAATGAAGCTTAACTTTCAGGGATCCTTGAAGCAACTTATTTAATGTGTGAATTTTTTCAACAACATTGATGATTTTTCTTTGTTACTTTTTAAGTATTTTTTTTTATTAAAATAAGGCCATGCTAATGATAGAATTATAAGCCAATGGGTTAAGTAATCAATGTTAGCCTTAGAATATGCTCTAATACCCATTTCATATGGCCTCAAAATTCTCCTATAATTGGTCAAATTTCAAAATTTTCTTGGAGGCTTCAGCACCCAAATCCCCACCTGTATGGGTTTGTTCAGCTCACCAGAATCTAGTCATAGTCTACATTTTGGCAGTTGTATCCACAAATCTATTATTGTTTGTTGCAAAGGGGACCCCATATCTGTTCAAGCTTCAGGGCCCTAAAAATGTAGGTCCACTACTGTTTATACAGCAAAAAAATAAATTTTGAATGATTTAAAGTCTATTAAATAGTTTAATTATATATTTTAAATAATTCAATATATTAACTACTCTATTTATTACTGGTAGGGATACATTTAGGACTCTAAAAATAATTTAGTGTAATTCCAGCATAACTATCCTCTACTGTTCTTGAAACATGGATTCTCTAATGAAAAGTTTTCAAAGGACATAAAGGGATGTAATTTTAGTTTTAGTGATAATTATTTATAGGTAACACAGACATCCAGTCTAAAATATATATGGTCATTCCTTGTCATGGTAGAGGGCTTGCATGAATAGTGAAGCTGTCTGGAGTTTCAACTCCTCTAGGGCCACCCATGGCAGTAAGGTCGAGGAGGAGGAGAGACCAGACTGAACACAATCTACCCTGAAGACCCCCAACAGCAGAACAGGCAAAGGTCTACATGATCTCAACAACCAAACCAGTAGAAGAGGGCAGCACCAGTCAGGCTGGCATAACCAAGGTGGATCTTGACAGACCAGGCATCTAATAGCCTGATGCAACCAGGTTTGCCAGATCTTGCTTGTCTCAATCCCCATTTAGCTGTGAGGGAGACACTTCTGGCCAAGTGTGTGGGCTTCTCCATCACACAGAGTTGTCCTCCAAAATCAAATTCATCAAAATCTCTTTGACTTCACTTTCTACCACTCTTCAATTCTTCACAAGTAGGTTGAATGTTCACAGCCATCTCCTGCCACCAGAGAGGAGGATGACAATCCCAATGCTCAGATGTGAGTGGGTGCCAACTACTACGACTATTAAGACACTCTTCTTTTCAGGAAAGAATTAGCATGATCTCAATATGCTTATTTCATTCCTAGTGTCATAAAATATGCATGTGACAATTTTGTTGTTTTTATAGCCTGAACACATTTTATTTAAGAGACATATGAAGAGTCAAAGTAAAATGAGTTAAGTTTTTTAATACTTAAAAACAGCTGTTTCATCCAACAAGTGCCAACATTAATTAGGAAGAAAGTACTTCTACATATGACAGCAGGTGAATCTTGAAGCAAAATAAAGTCCTTACAAATTAACCAAGAAGATCTATATTGATTTTTCATTCTTTAACCTGTTTTCTTATCTTTATTGTGATTATTACAATGCTTTGGCCACTATAACCTCTGATGTTTCAGTTTCAATTTCTAATATTATGTGGTGTTATTATACATTGGTTCTTTTTACCAGTTTATAAAAAGTTATGGAAAATTAATTAAATGAGCAGAACTCATTTCAGGTAAATGACATGCAAATATGGAACGGGATATTTACTTTAGCCTACATGTTAGCACCTACAATCAGTTACAGTAAAAAAAGCCACGGGCATTTATTATTATTATTATTAGCAGTACCTAGGAACATTTCACGGTTTTCCTATTTGAATTTTCTGAAGAATCATAATTCTTAAAGCCTGAATAAGCTCCTTGCAAGTTCCATGATTATAAAACACCCATGAAAATTCCTCTGCTGCATTGTTAAATATGTGAGCTTAAAATCTTACATTAACAATGATAAGTATCAATGCAGGTTATTATTTAAAGAAATAAGAGGGTACAAATAAAAAGATTAAAAACTGACAAGGTTTTCCATTTCATTGAAGCAGATGCTAAATACATAAGAGTATTATTACCTTCTCTATTTTCCCTTTCTTTTTTATTATATGTGCTTTCTTTTTCTCACTAAAACTAAATAGATATATCTTTTTCTTCTGTCTTTCCTCCACAGTCAAAATGGAATGGTCCATTATTTTTCTGAGGCAATAGCATAGTGTAACACACATGTTAATTAACTTACTAACAGAGGAAGAAGCAGAATGATGTTTATAAAATAATTTTTTCATCCAATAAAAAACAATGTTAACAATTTTGTGGTTAAGGGAAAGTAATTGATGATGCTGTTGAAATGCAACTTTCATTCAATTGTGATTAGTGATGCATTTATAATATTGGTAAATAACTAATGACATTTAGTTACATATTATGAACAATATTTTTCTTTTAATTAATAAAATAATGGTAATAATTTAGTGTTTTATTTTTAATCTCATTTTAAGAATTAAAACATTCAAGAATGGAAGTTTACTTCACTATTTCTACAGAATACTTCTAAAAATGTATTCAACTTAATTTTTGAACTTATTATCACCCTTTTCTTAGCCCCTTAACCCTACCATAAGTCAGGGACCATCCGTATTTCTTATGTTCTCATGTTCTCAATCTAAATTTAAAATATATTATCTACCAACCTTACCTCACCAACCAGAACACTGCAAATCAAATGTGAATTCTATAATCTTTTTCATGGATGTATATTATATGCTTTACCATGGCTACATACAGGTTTTCTACATAGAGACTACATTCAGTTTTCCTTCTCCTAAGCTGGTTGACAACCAGGTTAAGAGAGCTCAGTCTGTCCTGTTATTTAACCCATAGTTTGGGGTGGGGGAGAAAAGATGGATTCATACCTTTCACAAGGGTATTTTGCAAAAGTGAATGTAACAAACTCAACCAGAATTTGAACTCAGCTCACCAAATTCTCTTTCTGAGCCCCTAACCATTACACCAGCTGCACATCCATCCTTAAACTATATTCTAACATTCTAATTAATAAAAATTTGTTCATCTCTGTTCTGAATTTAAGAAATGGGAGGTCAGTTTTGTTAAATACAAAACACTGTCACTTGAGTTCAAGATAAAAATAAAAGGAAAAAAAGAACATATTTTTGTTGTTAATTAATATAGCATGGACATAAAGCTAGGGATCAATTTTCTTATTAAATAAGTTATAAACTGATCCCCCATTTTATATCATATAAAGTAAAGGTTATTTATAAGAACAAAGTCTTGTGAAAATCCACAGAAAATTGCTCAAGCAAAGCCACCTGCAGACATCAAGTAATACCTTATCCATGCATCTTTTATGTTCACTAGAGAGAAGCCACTCATATCCAAGTATGCCTATCTGCTAGGGTAGTTAGCTAATCTGTTGCAGATGCCTGCACAGGCACATTTACATTTGTTCAACATCCACAGAGCCAACCTGTGGTTTGTACTGCAACTATGCTGAGTAGACCTTAATTACAGTTTCTGGGAGAGAGTGCATAATCTGGCATGATGACTCATTTGAATAAGGCCAGTACACTAAAGTACACCACGTTTGTGATGACTAGAGACTTCATGCTAGTACAAATGGAAAGAGAGGTACAGGTAAAGAAAATAGATCTCTGCTGACAATAGAATAGATTATTGCAACTTACTTTACATCCTTCACACGCTAACACTCCATAGTGGATGCCTGAAGACTTGTCCCCACATACCAGGCATTTGAGATATGACTGCTTGGAGCTGTCAGATACTGCAACAGAAGAAAAAGAAATTATTAAATAACAGATTTTAAAAAAATGAAAGTGTATGAAACTAGCTGAAGTACTCATCTACACTGGATAAGAATTCAAGACTAGTTAGTAGTGATGATGAGCTTGTCTGTTTCAAGAAACAAAGCATAATTCAGCTCACATAACTTCTTGTGGTAAAACAAATGAAATGTATAACTGGAAAATGTCAGTTTTGACAATAGTTTTTATCCTCATTCATGTATTTGTCAAGTTTCCTTTTTAGTGATAGCATTCATAGTCATGGACATTTATAGTAACTGCAAAGTTATATATAAGTAATGTATTTTTAATCCAACATATTTTTATCACTTTACACATTATTTTTAATGGATAGCCATATTTGAGCAGATAGACTGTTTATTTTTTAAACAGTATTTATATTTATCTACCAGCCTGAACATTTGAGAAAAAAAAACAATGTGCCATTGCTTAATCGGCAATGCTCTTTGTGGTTAAGTCAGTGAAAAGATCTAAGAACAATTTCTCCTGCAAAGAGGGATGTATGTTCAATTTCTGTCAGAGGGAAGGCACATTTTTTCCAATAAAAATATTGTATAAAATGATAAAAATCCACACAAATATATAACAAAATACAATCATATATAGTAAATTCCAGCTGTGATAAAATTGGGAATTAAAAGTGCTCAATACAAAGTAGAGCATATAAAACCACAGATAAATAAAGAACCACGTTATTTTGAAAGAGGGTGAAACTTAAATTGCCTTGGTTTTATATTTTAATTCTTCATTTATATCATATATATATATATATATATATATATATATATATATATATATATGCACACAGTGAACCGGATATAAGAGACTTGTCGGGACCGGAGAAGAAGTCTCTTATATCCGGGTTTGGTATAATTTATATACATTAACACAGGCTCTAATTTGGGACCAGAGAAAATCTCTCTTATATCCGAGTTACACTGTGTGTGTATGTGTGTGTATATATATATATATATATATATATATATATTACAGTAAGGTTCACGCAGTGCAAGGCCCAGAGGCCACTCAAAGTAGAGGGTTACGTTAGGGGGTAGTTTATATGGATAGGATGGGGAAGATAATGGTTGATTCTAGATTTGAATAGGTTAAGATTGTAGCGATCAAGGAAACATCCTTTTGGGAGTCTGTTTCATAGGGTAGTGGTTTGCAAGAAGAAGCTGTTTGAGTGAAACTTATTTCCCGCTGATGAAATGAGGGTGGTTTGTTACTATGTAAGTGGCATGGCAGGTCCTAGCTGTGAAGGTCAGATCTGATGGAACCAGGAGATGCATTTCATCCAAGCACTTTCCATGGAGAAACTTGCCACATCCCACCTTCTTAATTTTCTACATAGATGTAATGTGCATGCAATATATACATGCACATATTTTTGTGTATACCACTTCTTACAGAGAGTGTACGCTCATCTGATAGTAGGACATGATCAGTTTCATGTGGGATGCCCATATGCATACATATGGACAGAGGATAAAAATCACTCAGTTCCCACAGCTGGTATGATACAGGGGTCAGAATAGCCTAACCTCTCTTCAGTACAATGGGGAAGATCCTGCTACATGGTCAGAATCCTTGAGATGAGGATCACCTCAATTTTTGCCATATTGACAAGAACCTGGATTAAAAGAGGAACAGATCATACTCTCAGATCTCAGATGCCAATTTATACATAAATAATCCTGTCAATTTTGATGGGTACTGTTCTCATTAATAATTAAATCATATTATTAAATTAAAACTGTTCTGATACTATAACTAAGAATACCAAGATATATCAGGTCATCCCAAAAGTTCTGTCCAAATTTTAACTTTTTGTTAAAATGAACGAAATTTAAAGAGTATTTTATAATGTCTAATGGAGCTGAACATTATTTTTATATTTAGATGCATTTAAACTGATCAAATTTTATTTCAGAGAACAATAAAATTAAATTTGGTTTGATTAAAACCCTGCTAACAAGAATCATTTGAGGCACATAATGCTTTATGAGTTCAAGAAAGGAAACTCAGCAGCCGAAGCGGCTAGAAACATTCACTCAGTTTATGGAGAGGAATGTGGGAATGAAAGAACTTGCAGAAGATGGTTTGCAAAATTCAGAGGTGGAGATTTCACCCTTGAAGATGAAGATCGAATCAGACGTCCAGTTGAATTTGATGAAAAGCTTCTTGAAGCAGCCCTTGAAGAAAATCCTGCTTTATCAGTTGAGGAATTGGCAGTGGTTCTCAGTTCAAGCTATACAACTGTTCATCATCATCTTCAACAACTTGGAAAAGTTCCTAAACTTGGAAAATGGGTGCCTCATGAATTGTCTGAAAACAACTTCAAATCCCAAGTTGATATCTGCTCTTCTCTCCATTCTTGCCAACTTGTTTCACCTTTTTTTGGACAGACTTGTGACTGGCGACGAAAAGTGGATCTTTTATCGAAATGTTAAGCGTTGTAGACAGTGGCTTGGTAAAGGGGAAGGACCCCAGCCACAGCCAAGAAGGGAACTTCATCGGCAAAAGGTTCTTCTTTCAATCTGGTGGGATCGCCAAGGAATAATCCACTTTGAATTCTTACCACCTAATGCAACAATTAATGCTCAAATATAGTGTCAGCAATTAGAGCGTTTTGAACCAAGCTTTGAGGAAAAAAAAAAGACCTGCTCTAGTGAATCGAAAAGAGGTGATGTTTCATCAGGACAATGCGCGACCCACACAGCAAGAATCACGTCACAAAAGATCGAAGAACTTGGTTGGGAGAAAATTCCTCATCCACCTTATTCTCCGATCTTGCTCCTTCAGACTACCATTTATTTCAGAGCTTACAGAATCATTTGGAAGAAACAGCTTTTTGTAAGACAGGAAGAGGTTAAAACTGACATTTGTGAGTTCTTTGAATCAAAGCCAAAAGAATTTTACAGTAATGGAATTAGTAAGCTTGTTAATAGATGGAAGGAAGTCATAGATAATCAGGGAAAATACATTGTTGATTGAATCTGTAATTAAATGTAACATTTGGTCACTTGTTTTCTTTATTCAAAATTCGGACAGAACTTATGGGATGACCTGATAGAAAAAAAAATAAATTAGCTTATTAGAAATACAATGGGGAAGCATTTTATAAAGGACAGATCCTCAGAGCCAAAGAATTATTACTAAGACAATATCCATTGTGAAGTGTGATCATCAGTCTCACTAAAGGATATAATATGGTTTATATTTTAATACAAAATCAAGATTGTACAACATTATGCAATGTCAAAGTTTACAAAGAGGGGAGAATAATAATACAAAATAGACACCCCACCACCAATATTATGCCTGCTACTGTTCTATAATTTTATTGAATAAAATTTTTAGTATTTCTAAGTTGTGTTGAAAAACAGGCTTTGATTAGTGTCAATTTTGTTGTCCTGACAAAGAATTAAAAAAATATATATATTTATTATTTTCATGTTTCATGTTAGAAAGATTTAAATTGTAAAAAAATCAAAAAAAAAATCTGCATTTTTCAAAGATTTACCGCCTTGTTTTTGTTTATATTTTTTGTTCCCTCCCCTCCACTCCCAGCATTCTTAAAACCTGTCCTACTTAAACTTCCACCAAGTACATGATTACTAAATTTTGTTGGTTCACTGATAACTGCTATTTCTACAGATATAAGAAAAGGCATACAACTCAGAAGAAAAAAAAAGTGAAACCTAGTTTCTTTTATTTATTTTAATGGGTAAATGTTGGGGTGGGTGTAGCATAATAATCATCCACATAGAAAATGAGTTGAGTTTAAATTTCAACTAAATCTGTTTGCACTCAGTTCACACTAATGCCCTTGGTAAAGTCAGAAATTTATCTCTTCTCTCTCTAGTTATAGGTTGAATAGTAGGGCAGAATAAGCCCTTTAGCTTTGATAGGGAAACCAGCCAACGAGTTGTGAATTCAAAAGCAACCTGAAGAGGGTTGGGCTCTATCTTGCCATAGATACACTCAATACTGCTACAATGACAATGGCTGCAGTACACATAATACCCCAACCATGGTGAATAATAAGTCTTTTGCAGACAGCTTCTCATGAAAATATTTTCCATGCCCAACCTTTTCATTAGAATCATAACATCCTTGTCAGTATTGCTGGTGTCTGGAAGTAAAGTGTACCACAAAATTTGGAATGGTTCCCAGAGATTTAATGCACAAAATATGTGATTCCCAAAGCCCATTTGTTGCACCCAAATTTACCACAGTGGGAATCAATTTTTGTGATAACCTAGAAGAGGTAAAAACAGGAAAAAAAATATTCTGGGCCAGCTGACTCAGCCTTCTTATTTTGTGTCATTTTATAACAATATAATTGTAACCCAAGATATCAGGGGTAGAATTTATTAAAAACAAAGATATTTCCATTCTTTCAAATGATGGTAGCACAATCAATACTAAAAGCATATAAGAGGTGCTGAAAAATTCTCAACCCAACCAAGAAGTCCTGCATAAAAAATCAAAATAAAAAAAATCCAATGTTTGCTCATTTGGCCTAAATTTAAGAAGAGGACTGAACCAATAAGTTTACAGTAACTTCTTGTATAGGAAATACAAATGCCTAAATTTCCTATATATATATATATATATATATATATATATATATATATATATATAACAAATAAGCAAATGTCACTATTTTCATAGAACATTTAGAATGTGAAAATATATAATAAAGAGGATGATCATTTAATTTAAGCAAAATATTAATGCATTTTTGGATGATGCAAGGGCTATATTTTGAGTTCCTCACAGAAGAATTTGTAATAAGCCATTCTTGAATCAATGATGTTATTACATAATTATTAATTTATCTATTCAGCTATAAATTAATGAAAATCAACAGATTAGTATAAAAACTTAAGTGTAATTAACTTTCAAAATTGGAAAGTTTTGACTCTCAATCAGTATGTCAGGCAAGGAAAACCAGGAAGAAAAATTGTGATTCTCATGCAAGTATTACAGACAGACAGACAGAAATAAAGTTACTAGATATATAATTTATT